TTCACACACTTCATTTCTCCAGCAGTAATATAGTTCTTAAGAAAAAAATCAACACTCCCATTTTTTTTGGCCCCTGAAATGAAAATGTATGCACACTATCTTTGTGCCCACTGTAGTTGGGAGAGAATCATTCTTAGTAGTAACACAAGAGGATAAAAGAGACAAAATCTTCTAGGCAGAGTTAAAAGAGAATGAGGGAAGAATAGGAGATCCAGGCCTGTCTCCACCTCTGAATTCATTTTTCAAATGCTCTTACCTAGGGATGGCTAAAGCTGCTTTGTCTGAGACCAGAAGCAGCAAGATGCCAAGAGACACCATTATCTTTTGAAAATCATTTTGTGGGTTTAGTACACTGGCTTCTTATGACAATTGACTAGAGAGGACAAGCTGAAAGAATGGCCACTGAAGCCCCACATTCCACTTCTGGTCCCTCTGTTGCTTAGCTGTGAGGTGAGGAGGTGTGGAAAGGCTTCTAAGAGGTTGTGGTTCTTGACCTCACCAGCAACCACAATCTACCCCTTTTCTTTCATTGTAGGGACCCAAAAATAGACTGAAGACCTAAAAATGTTAAAATGTTTGGGTTCTAGCTGTTTCGGAAGCCAGGATGTCTTGTTGCTTTGTATTTAAGTCTCCTTTCCCCACTCATTCACCCCAGTTGATCTCAGCTATCTGTACTGATTCTGTTTATCTTACTGCAAATTTTCAGTCCTCTTAGGAAGATATGATAATGCTGCCTTCAGACAGCTGTGTTTGGGAACAAAACTGACTTAACCAGCTGGCTGGCATTGTTGGAGCCCAAGGACCTGCCAAGCCAGGGAGAGCAGCTGTTTGGGCTGAAATTCTTACAATTCTTATGACTTTGCTTTCTATATAACAGCTTTTGAATTTGCTTTTAAATGTACATACGAAGGATATGAAAGCATGAGAAAGTATCTTTGGGTGTCGAGGCACACCATGGGTGAAGGTAGAGGTCAGCCACCACCTTCCTCTTGTGACTCATCACTCTATTGGAAAGAAAAGCTCCAGAAGGAGGCTAACTTCAAAGAGTGAGAGCTGATATCCAGTGAATCAATAAACGTTGGTATCTCAGTACAGGGAGGGCATGAGGTAACTGTTAAGAACCGTGATTTTCAAAAGTTTTAGAAAGGCCTTGTGGCCTTGTGTGACTGGGAGGGGATCGCCCTGATCCCCAGCCCTGCTCTGAGGTTCAGCTGCTCCTGTGGAACCTCCTTCCTCACTGCCCTGAGCACATCAGAGTGCCCCAGAGGCCTGGGCTTACAAGGAGAATAGTCACTGAGGCCCAGGGTGTCAGGCTTCTGCACACCAGGTGACGGGAACTGGGGCGTCTTGGCAGGACTCCTAGCCCCAATCCGGGCCCCAAAACTCCAAATGATGATGAGCTGCTGTGTTCACTGGCAGTTAGAGATAAACATCTGTGATCACCTATGTACAGCAAGTTTTCTGTATTGATCCAGGCCAATGTGCACCATCAGCACGCCTGTATCTACTGATGGTGCTCTAAGCACCTCACCAATTCCTGCTTTAGAACAAAACATGCTGGCTAGGCCAATGCCATTGCTCTTGAAGTTGTTAAAGTCTGTTATATTAAGACTAAATGATTATATCAAGAGAAACAACAACATATTATATGTTGTTCAAGTGATCTAGGAGATTTGTTTGGAACCTTGTATACAGTGATCTACAAAACTTGATAGTCAGTGGGAACCTCAGACTCTGGCACATCTATGCATGAGGTGTCACTTTGAAGGTAGGAGTGAACAAAAAGACCCTGGGTAAGAGCTCCAAGAAGAGAAGCATAGGCCGGGAATGTAGCTCAGTGAATGAGGTCATGAGTTTGATCCTCAGAACCAAAAAGAAAAACGAAAGGAGAAGCCTTCCTCTTAAGATTCGGTTTTCAGGCCATCTACCTCTTGTAGAAGGAGTGCATTAGAGAGACAGAAGAAAATTCAGATGAATTGTCTGGTGAAGCATACAGCAAGCACCACAAATCAATAGTATTTCTCTCTCTTTCGATGAAAGCCTGTGTGTAGTAAAGGAGGCATATTGAGAAGTAATAGTCAACAGAGACTCCATCTGATCTGGGTCTGAATGATGGTGTGAGTGGTTTGATCAGAAATTCAGTCTCAGACCAATTCAGTGTGGAATTCGAAGTTGAAACTCTTGATTCAGAAGATCATAGTCTTAGTAAAGGACAGGAACTCTCAGATGAAGATGATGAGGTATGTCAAGTTACTGTATATCAGGCAAGGGAAAATGATACAGATTCATTTGAAGAAAGTCCCGAAATTTCCTTAGCTGACTATTGGAAGTGTGTATCATGCAGTGAAATGAATCCTTCCCTTCCATCCCAATGCAGCAGATGTTGGGCCCTTCATGATAATTGGCTTCCTGAAGACAAAGGGAAAGATAAAGAGGAAATCCCTGGGAGAGCCAAATTAGAAAGCTCAACGGGGGCAGATAAGGGCTCAGACACGCTGCCCATGATTCCAGAGAGGCCTGTGTTGATGAAAGTAATGATGGAATCACACAAGCCTCCCAGTCACAAGAAAGCCAGAATTGTTCTCAGGAGTCAACTTCTACTAGCACTTTTAATAGCAGCCAAGAAGATGGTAAAGAGTTTGAGAAGAAAGAAACACAACACAAAAGAGAAAATATGGAATCTAGTTTTCCCTTCAGTGCCACTGAACTTTGTGTGATTTGCCCAGGTCGACCTAAAAATGGTTGCATTGTTCATGGCAAACGAAAATATCTTGGGTCATGTTTCATATGTGCAAAGAGGCAAAAGAAAAGAAATAAGCCTTGATCAGTATGTAGACAACCAATTCAAATGATTGTGCTAACTTACTTCAGCTAGCTAACATATCTATAAATGTATGTGTTTTTAATTTCTAACTATACAAGCCTCAAAATTTAGACAGCACAGATTTTATGAACATATATCAAAGCAAGAAAAATAAGGACATTAAATGTAACTTAGTACCTTTTGTGTAAGGAGGAAACATATATGGAAAGATTTAATATTTAAAATGTAGATGCTCTGAAACACAAATCCTTAGTTTCCTCTTTTAGAAGTTCACATTTGTATTTGATCCTGTTTATGCAGGTAAAAATGTACCACTTATAATTATTAAGAATCTTCAGTGAAATAGTGAAAATAACCAGAACTAGTAACAGTAATTGAGATTATAAATGATGACATATGTAATAAATATTATTTAACATTAGCTCTGCAAATTGGATCTCATTTTACATGCTTGTGGATTACTAATGTAATTTTGATTGTCTAAATTTTTAGGTTTAGCATACCTATATTTACTGATTTACAATGATTTATGGAACATTTTAAAAATTTTTAATGAGGAGGAAAATAGTATAGTATTTTAAAAGTGTGTAGGTTACACAGTGGTATAAAGAATATAATTCCCAGTATGGAAAAGTGTTTAGGAAAACATAAATATTCATACAAAGTGCAACTGATTCTTGGTATATGCAGCAAATACATACAGTAAATCATAGCTACTGCAGTGCAAAGTGTCTAACCACAGGGACATATTTGTGTCATTAATCCCCTGTTACACCCAGAGTGCTTAGTATAAAATAATATTCAAAAGAATTTTGCCATTTGGATGAATGATTCTTACTATTATATACATTTTAAAATCAATCTGGAGAAAACCCTGCATTATCATCTGTAATTAGATCTATAATTCTGGCAACTTCTCTTTGTGCTCTTAGTTGTTCTTTATAAAATATGAAGATTTTAGCTGTTATGCAGGATTGCTGAGAGTTGCATGAGCTACATGTAATGCAGAGTGAAGTGACTGGTACCTTGGGAACTGGCAGGAAGGGGTAGCTATTGTAATCATGACAAGCACCACACACTAGTGCTAACTATTGTAACTAGTAAATTCTGTTGGGAAAAAGTTAAGAGTTGACATAATTTTTTGTTTTTGTCATTTTCCTTTTTTTTTTTTTTTTTGGTACCGAGATCAAACTCATGAATGTGTGCTTGCAAGGCAGGGACTTAATGTCTCTGAGCTAAATCCCTCGCCCTTTTCTCTCACTTTTTAACCCTGAATTTAAATGATAATAATAATAGGCCAAAAGAAAAAGGATTGTAAAGAGAGAAAATGCTGATAGTGATAATTTCTAAATGGTAAAATTGAGAATTTTTCAGTCTTGTTGAAACCTGTGTATTTTCCAAGCTGGAATAGATAAATAGATGGACACTTCTTTAAACCTAGGGTTTAAAAAAAGCAGTGACCCCCGATACACATTACCACCACCACTACCCTTTAAACAAGGAAATGAAAACTGAGCCTCAGAGATAGATCAGAGATGCTGCACAGGAAAGGATGCCAGGGAATTACAAAGGACATGGTCCTCCACTGTGGGTCATTCTTGGAATGTTAATTACATGCTTCACAGTCTAAGAAAGTTAGCGAGCAGTTAAGAACAGGGAAATAGAGCGAGTGGAAAAAAAAGCCAGATGTGGTGGTGCACACTTGTAATCCTCCACTGTGGGAGACTGAGGCAGAGGCTTGTAAGTTTGAGCCCCCCACCCCCACAACAGAGCAATTTAGTGAGACCTCATATCAAAATTTAAAAAGACCTAGGGCGTGGAAGGAAAAAAGGAAGGTAAGAAAGAAGGCCGTGAGGGAGAAAAGTTGATTGGTTTTCATGATTGGTTCTGTAAGAAAAAGTCAGAAAACTCAAAAACTGTTCATTTGACAGTGGTTTGTCTTTCTGTTTCTTTTAGGGAAGAAAACAAGACAGAGACCCATGAAAATGATAGTAGAAATAGAAATGGAAGCAAATGATTACCAAACTGGGGCCTAATGAGAGTTCCTAGAATCCCTGAGCAAATGCCCTGGTCTTTTCTAGTCTTTCTAAGCGACCACTAACCTTTCAGTTGCACTGATTCAGGCCTAATTCACTGCAGTGCAATGCCCATCTCATGAAACTTTGCTCGTTTGCAGATATTTAACACAGTGCCTGATGTGCCGCTCACCAATGCCCAGCTGCACCTGCTGCGGAAGAAGAGCAGTGACTCCAAGCCCCCGTCCTGCAGCGAGAGGCCCCTGACGCTCTTCCATGCCGTGCAGTCCACAGAGAAACGTGAGTCTTTGCTGCTGAGGACCAGCGTGCTGTCCTGGGCCATCCCGTGCCACCTCCTGCTGCTTGCGGAGGCTTCCTCTGGCCACTGTGTGCCTTGGGCCTGTGTGGACCATGTCGTGATGCCCTTCCAGGTTCCATTGCTTAGTAACCCTGATAGGGCAGGAAGCAGCATTGCTGTGAATCACAGGCAGGGCCTGCTGCAGAGATCTCTTTCCAGACCTGTGAGCAAACACCTGAGCCTCTTTTCCCAGTTACACAGTGAGAACTCAGCTCCAGCATAGCCTTTGTGGCCCCTCTTTTGCCGGCAATTCCCACAGAGCCAGTGTTCTTCCTGTTCTCAGTGTATAATTGAATGCTCATCAGAGGGAATCACATGTCCTACTAGAGTGTGGCTCTGAGACCAGGACCTTGTTCTTGTCCAGTTAGTCTACCTCTCTGTGTCTGGTATGAAACTGGTACTTACAAATATTTGAAATTGATTAATGAATTAGCCATAGAATAATTCCTCCTTGTTCCAAATAGCAGTGTTATCACCCAAATATCTCAATGTTTACTTCTAAGACATTCTTTGCAGTAATCAGGTACTGGACCTAAATACAGTCTTGTTTCAGAGTTTATAATAAGAAACTTTTGTACTGTGGGGGCAGAAACCTCAGCATCTGCATTAAAATAACCCTCAGTTTGCTTATCTATAAAATAGATACAATAGTACCTACCTCATTGGAGAGCTGTGAGGATAAAATGAAATGGATTTCAGCGTCTGGTACAAAGTCTAAACACAGCAAGGGCCAAAAACTAAGAGCCACTGCTACCATCATTAGTTACTTGTTATTCACACGCAGATCCCAAGGTTGGTTTGTATATGCAACTGATGTTTGCATGACACCTGCCGGAGCTGGGGATACAAAAAATAAGGTCTTATGTCTCAGGAGTTCAAGGTTGAGGGAAGAAAGTAGACTGGTGAACTCACTGTGGTTAAGTTAGCACAATAACTGCTCTCATAGAGAAGTGTCCATCAGGGGAGACACAAGAGTGTCTTTGTTAAATGTGGGCACTGTTGCTCCAGGATGCCCAGTTGGGAATTCTGCTTCTGCTGCTCACCAGCTGTGTGTGACTTGGGAGGTCTTGTAACATCTCAGGGCCTTTGACTCCTCTAGAAAATAGGGGCAATGGTTTTCCAGGATTTCTGAGTTCTTTGTGAGGATCAAATTGTGGACCCTAAAATATAGAGTCTTATTTCAGATTTCAAAATAAGAGACTTGTATAGTGTAGTATAGTGTAGCAATGGAGGCTTCAAAATCCCCTGGAAGTCATAGGGCCGTTGTGATGATTTAAATGCTTCAGATGGTGCCGGGAGCAAAGTTAGTGTTTAGTAAATGCTAGGTAGCTGTATCATCATCATCATCATCATTACTATTACTGATCTCCATGAGTTACCTGGTTTGCCTTAAAGAGAAGCTCCATATCTGGATTGGCATCTTTCTCCTTTTTTGTCACAAAAATGTTTGTGATATGCTTTATTTCAAAAATAATGGTCTTTCTTATTATAACTCTTAAAAGCAAATCTACCCTGCTTCCAAACCTCACTGCATTTAAAGATGCTGTAGTAGTCCATAATAAGACCACATCTTAATATTTAGCATCATTGGAGCTACTGTAGAAATTTTATTTTAATAAGTAAATCTGTTGTCATTCTTGTTTCTAATTCTGCTCATATTTATGATCATTTACTTAAGATAAATTCCTAGAAGAATCCCTAGGTTAGTGGATGTTTACACCTTCAGGGCTTTGACTCCATCTCGGCACTGGCTTCCTTCTGACAGACTGTGTTCCTCTTGACATCTGACTGGCCTTGTTTTCTCCCTGATCTGCACATGGCCTGGGCTCTCCGTGTATACAGGGGACTATTTGGAACAGGACTGACCTCACCCGCATCTGCTGAGCAAATGAAGGATCAGGCTACATGGTGATGTACTTCTTAGGTTTCCAGGAAAGCCACGGTCACCTAAGGTTTCCTACTAAGCACTGTACAGTGCAGATCGGGACAGGCCAGACAGCATCAAGGCTTAAGATAGGTCTGGGTTTGTGGCCCGAGTGGCACAGGAGCAGCTGCTCCTCAGGTCTTCAAGCACACTCTAGAACATGCAGGGAAGTTGGAGATGAGGAGAAAACCAATTAGATCTGTGTTCAAGATTAATTTTATCACTCAAGGGAGCGGAAAAGTTAAGGACATGTGAAAGCAGGCCTGCTTAAGCTGCAAAACAGGCTGCAGTGTCCTGTGTGCGTCAGACAATGAAACAACAGGGCTCTGCTCTCAGAGTAACAAAACACTCTGCAGAAACGGCCACGATCTCTGCATGCTCTGACTTTGGTAAAACATTTTAATTATAGTTGAATATCATATATACATATAAAAGCATATGAGTGTATTTTACCATATGTTCTGAACACACCTTATTTTTCTTAGGGAACCGGAATGATACTGGGCTGTTAGGGAAAGCACCATGGGAAGGGTGGTGGAGTCAGTGCTTCAGGGACTGGGCCAGAAACTGGAAGGTCCCCGGCTACCTGCACCTCCCAGGTTGCAGTCAGCCCCTATTATGTTAGACCAGCAGGTGCCAGTTACTGTGACGTTCTCACACGCTTCTCCCTTCGCTTTGGTCCATGGACAAAAAAACAAAAAAAAACCTTTATCAAAGCATTCTTTGGACTGAAAGTACACATAAAGATTATAGAGGTGACTTATGGAAAATGCATATTTGCGTAGAATAATGCCCGGCAGTTTAAGGCTTCTTTAGCTCAGTGCTTCTCAAGCTTCAGCCATTTACAAAAATCTCTGCTCACTTGTGGGGCCACAACTGCATGACTTAACCCTGGTATTTGTTTAATATATTTCAATTGATTTGAAAACAAACCACTTTTCTACATGATCTCATTCTGATATGTAAAGTCTCTAAGAACATGAATTTAATGGTCTCACTGTGTCATTCTCTATCATACATAAAAATAAATATGTAGCCATTAAAATAAAAAAATGATCACATCCCATGTAGAATTTTGTCTACCACCTATTATTGAATGTGCACCGTTAGTCTGGAGTCCACAGACTTGGCTCCTAATTTGGACTGACTCCAGTCTTTTTTTTTTTTTTTTTTTAGTTTAAATATACAAACTCATTTCTTTTATCTACTTGGCTGGTGTTGGGTTCAGAATATGTGAGGGGCTGTTTATGTTGCAGTGAACACTCACCACTAATGTATCATGCTGTGCACTTTCAACTTATTGTGACACTTGTCCAGGTCTGATGTGACCTTGCCTTTCTTCAGATTCTTGCCCTAGAGCCAAAACCCTGTTAGTGAATTGTACAGTGTAGGCACACATGGCACATACCTTCAGAATTGCTATGTCCTGTTTTGCAGAAGCTCATTTCTCCTTACGTCTGTGTGATCTCCTTCCAGTCCAGTTATGCTCCTTTATCTCCTCAGTGAAGTACTTACAGTTTAATATTTTCCCTTCATTCTACTGGCCAGTCCCCTTTGCAGTCCACTTGAGATGCTTAATGGCACTGAAGCTTCTGGAGTAGCCCCATTGGCTGGCTCCCTTGGAGGTTCCAGAAGTTTGCCATCAGCAGACATTTATCCCCGCTCTCTCCAGTGACCCTGTTCTGTGCAGAAGTTCAGCCCATTAGTTCCTGTCATGGGTGAATTTGTGCTGGCTTTGAACTGTTATTTGCCTTCCTTTTCTCAGAAAGGACATTCCTGAGGATCACTCTGAGAAATCTGTAGATTCAGTCCTATCTTAGACTCATGGAAATAGTCTGGCATGTTAGATGACAGTCACAAATGTGAGTCTCATTTTTCAGAAGTTTTTCCAGCTCTGCAGGTAGACTGGTTGTGTAACTCAGGCACCTGCCCACAGCTTTCTGCTTTAATCTGTGGGAATGAGTGGAATCTTGTCTGATGACTTTTTCTTTTTCCCTAAAGGTAAAACTGTCTTTTTGATAACAGTGATGTCTTCCCATAAGGACGAGCCACATGATTTCTTTTGCTATGTGCTAGGTGGAGATTTAAGTCAGTTACAAGGCAGCATATAACTTCTCTCCTGCAGGCAGTGTGCAGTGGACATGGGGGTTGGAATGAAATGGAGTAGCCTGAGCGATGCAAACTTCAGGGAAAAGGGCCATGAAAGTGATGGGAGAAAGTGAGATTTAAAAAGCATCATAGCAACACATGCAAATCATCAGGAAACCACTGACTATTTTAGTGAAGAGTGGGCTACATATCACAGTTGTCTATAGCTCATTAAGGAGAGTTTTCTAAAAGAGGAAATTTTGAGAAAGATACCAGAAGAAATGAGTGTCCTAATCTAGCCCAAAGGACAGAAAGGAGGCCTGTAGTGTAGAATGGAGCAGATGTGAGTTCTTTCCAAGATCCCGTGGGTGCCTCTGTCTCTAAAAGGTATGAGAGGCCATGGAACGAGAATTTCCCCAGATGTAACTTGAGAACCATTTTCCCATAGAAATTGGTTTTCTGTTTATCTGTGTTTAATTTATGTAACTACATTCTTACCAACTGGTTGCTTGTGCTAGGCATGTGAAGCAACATCATTTAAACTTTAAAATTATGATATTGATAACATCCATACTTTTCAGTTGGGAGGAAATAAAATTTATATTACATCATATACTCAGGGCCATTCAGCCTAAGAGTGGTAGCTTTGTACCCAGTTCATGCACTTCAAAGCTGTGCTGTTAACCAGTATGTCAGGTTTCAAGTTTCAGGAGTGGCATAGCTCCAGAGGAGAGCTGGTTCTGTCAGGGTTTGCCACCACCACGACCATCTCCAAACACAGCCTTATTTCTGAGGGAAAATGCTTCCTCATGAGCCTGGAAGGTAAACTTGCATTGAACTTGGAGCCTGCTTATTAGAAGCTAGGTGGCTGATGCAGGACAAATGGATGCAACTGATGAAGAGCCAAACAAGATTCAAGGCTCATTCAGT